GGATAGAAGAAAAGATAGATAATAGATAGATAGATGGATAGATAGATAGATAGATAGTAGATAGATAGATAGATAGATAGATGATAGATAGATAGATAGATAGATAGATAGATAGATAGATAGATAGATAGATAGATTGATGGATAGATAGATAGATAGATAGATAGATTGATGGATGGATGATGGATGGATGATGGATGGATGATGGATGGATGATGGATGGATGATAGATATCTTATAGTGATAGATGACAGATGATAGATGACAAATATAGTGATAGATGATAGATTGATAGATATTTTATAGTGATAGATGATTGATAGATAGATACATAGATGATAGATATAGTGATAGATAGGTGGATGATATATAGATATCTTCTAGTGATTGATTGATGATAGACAGACAGACAGATTAGCGTCAAGACTTCTGGTTCCTGCTTAGAGATCCCTCTTTGACCACCCCCCAAACATCCCCCTCGTCCCCATTACCCGGTGCCTGGCTCTGCCTTCTGCAGGACAAATCGGTAGACGAGGGTGGCCCCCAACGCCCCGGCCAGCAGGATCCCGACCAGGACTCCGGCCACAATCCAGCCCAGCATCGAAGGGGTCTTTGCCGGCAGAGTTGTCAGGGGTGGGGTTGTCGGAGGTGCATCTGTGGCAGAGCCTATTTTTTAAAAAGAAAGAAGGAAAGCAGGCATTAGGAGTTGGCATCGGGGACCCAGGGAGAGGGTCCGAAGCCGTGACGCCGAAAGGCCGTGTGAAGTTGCCGCGACAAAGAGAACTTTTGAGAAAACTCAGGAATGTTCGAGATTGGCGCAGTGACTCCTCACAAGAGCCGCCATTGATGGGACTGGCACAAGAGCTCCCGTTGACGAGAATCCTGTTGGCCCTTGTTTTATCCCGCCGGCTTCAAGCGCCAGTCACAGACAGGACTCAGACCCTCAACAAGCTCCGTCTTGCCTGCTCTGACGGGCAGCTGCTCTCCAGGGAGGCTCTCGTTGTGTATTTCAAAACAATAGGGAATATAATAACGAATATGGCATCATTTCCCAGTGCCGTCTCGCCCCACACAAATCAAATGATGAAACCTTTTCAAGGAACTGTTCTCCGCTCAGGGAAACGGGGATTGCGGGACATCACTGTCAGTACCCAGCCCAGGTATCTGGGTGGGGACCATAATACCCTTGCTGAACTCTCAAATAAGGACAGACTCCACCTTAAGAGTTACAGGAAGCCCTTTCCCTCCAGCCCGGGTATATGGGGAGAAGAAGAGAAGAGATCAGATTTATACCCCGCCCTTAACTACCCGCAGGAGTCTGAGAGCGGCGTACAATCCCTTCCCCTCCCCACAACAGACACCCTGTGAGCAGTGCTCCCTCTAAGCTGAGTCAGTGTGAGCTAGCTCACACATGTTTGCCTTAGCTCAGGAAGGAGGGCTCCGGAGCAAACTAATCGATGCAGTAGCCAAATCGCTCGCTCGCGACTTTAAAACCAGTCGCTCACAAAGTAGAATTACTGCTCACGAGACTCCACAGCTTAGAGGGAGCATTGCCTGTGAGGTAGGTGGGGCTGAGAGAGCTCTCTCGAGGACTGCTCCTGAGAGAACAGCTCTGAGAGAACTTGTGACTGACCCAAGGTCACAGCAGCAGCTGCATGTGGAGGAGGGGGGAATCAAACCCGGCTCTCCCAGATTAGAGCCCGCGGGCCTAACCACTACACCAAACTGGAGCTCAACAACAATAAGAAGGCATTCTGTACATGCTCAGAAGCACACATTATATTCCACTTTGGGCTGAGTCCCGATGCCGGTAAGAGGTTATCTGAGACTACATGGTGGAGAATCCTGGATTGCAGTGAAAATTATCATTTTAGGCTACGTTACAGATCGAGGCAATACAGGCAAGGAAGAGAGAGGGGCACAGAAACTCAGGCAGGTGATTAAGCGGGAGGGGGAACCACTTACTAGCCAGCTGAAGGACCGTGGTGCCCCTGAAGGTTCCCTTTGGGCGGATTAAAACAACCACAGTGTAGGCCCCGCTGTCGTTCTGTTGGACCCCCCGGATGAGGAGCGACCCGTTGGGATAGCCGAACTCCCGGCTGGTGAAGCGGACCCCGTTCCGCTGCGGGCGCCTGTTGTCTCCCGTAAAGTAGGTGAAGATCCGGCTCCCCCCGTCCGTCACCGACCCGCGATACCAGTCGAACTGTCGGACGCTGCCCGTCACGTTTTCCACGGAGAATGTGACGTTCTGACCTTCGGCTGGGTTCTCGGGGATAGTTACGATGGGCAGGTTCTCGATCGCTCGGGTGGGCGGGAGGCAGAGGCACAGGAGAAAGGCTGTGGGGGGAGAGAAGGTAGCTTCAGGGAAGGTTTTCGTTTCCAGACCTGGTCACCTCCCTGGCTACGCTTGATCCTGGACGCCCAACTCTCCCTGACCCACTGGGAGGGCTTCTGGATGTCGCATGTCTACACTGCAGACAAAAAGGGGGGGGAGAGAACTGAACCTAGAAACCTGGGATCCCGAACCTGAAAAGGTTCAGTCACATAGAAAAGAGGGCCAACAATAAAAGCTTTATATATATTAGGAGCTGCGGTGGCTCAAGTGGTTAAGACGCTGAACTGCAGGCTGTGGAAGGTCGGTAGTTCAGCAGTTCGAGACCCGAGTGTGCCGCATGACGGAGTGAGCTCCCGTCTCTAGTTCCAGCTCCTGCCAACCTAGCAGTTCGAAAGCAAGAAACTGCAAGTAGATAAATAGGTACCACTTCGGAGGGAAGGTAACAGTGTTCCGTGCGCCTTGGTGTTTAGTCATGCCGGCCACACGACCACGGAAACGTCTTCGGACAGCGCTGGCTCTTTGGCTTTGAAACGGAGATGAGCACCCCAACCCTAGAGTCGGACTCGACTGGCTTTCGAGCAAGGGAACCTTTACCTTTAGCTTTATATATAGTATATAAAAAGATACATGTATTTATCAACAAAGAATTTTAAAAATATGTAAGGGCCCAATCACCCCTCATGTAAAAATACCAGAATCTAACACACAAGGGCTAATGGACTTGACCTGACACGTACAAATGAGGCCACCAAAAATGCAATCATATGCCAAGTCGTGTTTCACTGGTAATAATTTCTGGTCCAGAAAGTGCCTTCCTATGATTGTTTAGCCAAAGGGTCCTCAGTAGAATTGTCCTTAGGCAAAGAGCAGTCTACACTGCAACATTAAACCGGTTTCAAAGCCATTTATCACGGCTTCCCAACAAGGGTTCCTGGGAACTGTAGTCCTATGGATTCTCTTCTCCAGGGGTCCCCAACCTTTTGGAGCCCACGGACACCTTTGGAAGTCTGGCACAGGGCGGGGGGGGCGCAATTAGAAAATGGCTGCCGAAGGAGGCGGAGCCAACCACACAATGTCAAGGAGCCAGTTATCTATCGCAGTAATAGTAGCTCTTCAACCTTTCCGGCAGAAACTCTGTTTAGCAGGTTGCCTTTTAATCTGTGCAGCCAATCAGAAGCCCTGCTGGACAAACACCCCACCTGGCCCCTCCCACGTTCTAAAAACTCTTGGCGGGCCCCAGGAAAGGCGTCAGCGGATGCCGTGGTCCTCCCGGGAACCACGTTGGGGATTCCCGCCAGTGTTCCCTCTAAGCTGAGTTAGTGTGAGCTAGCTCACCGTTTTTTAGCCTCCAGCTCACACATCTTTGTCTTCGCTCAGGAAGGAGGACTCCAGAGCAAGCTAATTTATGCAGTAGCCAAATTGATTGCTCACAGCTTTAATGCCAATAGCTCACCAAGTAGTCTTTTTCCTCACAGGACTCCACAGCTTAGAGGGTACATTGATTCCCCGCTCTTCTATTTCTCGGGTAAAATGAAGATTCGCTGACATTTCACCGATGAAAATGATCACACATGCAAGGGGAGTGCCGCCAACCCTGCCCGCACACCGAGCCCAGATACAGGGCTCCAATGGTGTCAGAAGTGACTACACGACCAAATTAGAAAGTATTTCCCACAGCGTCTATACCACGACCCCAGGGGTATCTCATCCCCTCATATTTACCATTAATTTGTAGAGCAAAATTCAAGTCCAGTTAGTAGCACCTTAAAGGGACCAAAATACCGGAAGGACCTCCTTCTCCCTCATCAACTCACCCGACAACTATGGGCATCTTTGGAGGGCTGGCTTCAAGTGCCCCCGCCTTCTGAGATTGGGAACGTGCTAACCCAGGACAGGGCCTTCTCGGTCGTGGCACCAAAGCTCTGGAACTCTTCTGTTGCCACCTTCTGCCAGCAGGCGAAGACTTTTCTGCTTTGTTCAGCATTCCCTTCGCAACCCCTCCTCCGCGACCAATGCTTTAACTGCTATCTTTAATGTCTTTGTACGTGCTTTGACTCGCTTTTTAAATCGCTGTTTTTAATGATGCATGTTGGGGGGTTAAGAACATAAGAACATAAGAGACGCCAATGTTGGATCAGGCCAAAGGCCCATCCAGTCCAACACTCTGTGTCACACAGTGGCCAGAAATACCAGGTGCCATCAGGAGGTCCACCAGTGGGGCCAGGGACATTAGAAGCCCTCCCCCCAAGCACCAAGAAGACAGAGCATCACATGCCCCAGAGCCCCTATCTATACCTTGTGGCTAATAGCCACTGACGGACCTCTGCTCCATATGCTAAATTGATCTAAATGGTTTCAAAATGTGTTTCTATCATGGCAGTTTTTAATTGTTAGCCACCTCGGTAGACCTTATGAGGGCAGAAAAGCAGGATACCAACCGTAAATGAACAAAGAAAGACCAAAACGATTTCCGGAGGAGAAGCATTCAAGAGTAAAAAAAACCCCTTCGTTTGATACCTTCAGACGGCTTCGACTCTCGAAAACTCTGACCCTGAAAGTCTTCCTAGTCTCTAAGGTGCTGGTGGATTTGAATTGCACTCTGCTACTGAAGACCAGGGGGGTTGCGGTGGCTCAGAGGTTAAGACGCTGATGCAGTCTGGAAGGTCTGTAGTTCGGCAGTTCAAGACCCGAGCGCCACGTGACGGAGTGAGCTCCCGTCTCTGGCCCCAGCTCCTGCCAACATAGCAGTTCGAAAGCAAGAAATTGCAAGGAGGTAAATAGGTACTGCTTCAGTGGGAAGGGAACAGCGTTCCATGAGCCTCGGTGTCTAGTCATGCCGGCCACATGACCACGGAAACGTCTTCGGACAGCGCTGGCTCTTCGGCTTGGAAACGGAGATGAGCACCGCAACCCTGGAGTCGGATTCGACTGGCTTTCGAGCAAGGGAAGCCTTTACCTCACCTTTGCCTTACTGAAGACCAACACTCTGAAACAATCAGAGTGGATATTTCACTCCACGCCAACGCTTCCTCGAAGCTGTGGAGTCTTGTGAGCAGAAATTCTTACTTTGTGAGCTACTGGCATTAAGGTTGTGAGCGAGCGATTTGGCGACTGCATCAGTTAGTTTGCTCTGGAGCCCTCCTTCCCGAGCTACGACAAAAATGTTTTGCGCCGGAGGCTAAAGAACGGTGAGCTAGCTCACACTCCCTCAGCTTAGAAGAACACTGCTCCGTGCCATGAAAATTTGCCCGACAGATGTCAACACGGCAAGCTCCGGTTCAAAGCACTGGAGCAGCCATCCAAGCTGTTTGGCGAGGGACCATTGTCAAACCTGCCAATGACCTCCCCCACCCTGTACGCTTATCCCTGGGTCTGTGTCTCACCTGCTAGGAGAAACCCCGTATCAATGAGGTCCCCGCTCCGAAATCCTCGCATGGTCCTTCTTAGAGGTAAATCCAGGCACACCTTTGGTGCGAAGCGAGGGAGAAATGAGGCCCTAAGGAGAAGAGCGCTCCCGCACAGCCAGCCGGACGCCCGGGTCCCTTCCTCGGCCCATCCTACCGGGAAATCCAGCGCTCCGCACTTCCAATGGGATGGGTCCCAATCCTGGGCGGCGATGCTGTCTCGGGTCCCCGAGCTGCTTCCTCCTGGCCGGCCTCGTGGTGGGTTATTTGCCAGGCTGCGTGAGAAAAAGCATCCACAGCGTCAACCGAGGCCGTCAAACCCGTTCAAGCCTGACTCATCGCCTGCCAGGAACATCCTGGAATATTTAAACGGTCGGCTGCCCTGGCGAAGAGGCCCAGTGTACTGGCCTCCATGCCCCGGGGTGAGCGAAGGAGGGGGGGGAGGTAGAATCGCCGGAAAGTTTCTTTCTCAGAGACGGAAGTCAGGATTCCTCCTGGCCCTTTAGATTCTAGACCAATGTTCCCTTTAAGCTGTGGAGTCTTGTGAGCTAAAATTCTATTTTCTGAGCTACTGCCATTGAAGTTGTGAGCAGGTGACTTGGCTGCTGCATAAATGAGTTTGCTCTGGAGCCCTCCTTCCTGAGCGAAGACAAAACGGTGTGAGCCAGAGGCTAGAAAACTGTGAGCTAGCTCACACTCACTCAGATTAGAGGGAACACTGTTCTAGACCCCGATTCCCTCTTCCGGAACCCAGGGAGAGTCCTGGTATTTACACCCCATGGACTCTAGCCACTAGACTCTCCTACCCTCCTCCAGTTATTGGGCAGTGAACACCAGGAGGTGATAGGGATCTGACTGTGGATCCTACCCTAGACGGAGCCTCCCTCCTTTTTGCATTCCCCTTGCGAAAACAGGCCTTCAGGAAGGAATGGAGACGGTGGCTTGTGGGTGAAAACAAGCCCTCCGAACTTGCTTTGGGGCCCAGCTGGACGTGAATACCTCACATAAGCAGAAGTCTGGTCCACAATTATGTCTGTTCCGAAAGAAAGAAAGAAAGAAAGAAAGAAAGAAAGAAAGAAAGAAAGAAAGAAAGAAAGAAAGAAATTGCCCAGGGCAATGCCGATCTCCACTTTGGAGACAGGAAGGAATTTTCCTCCAGGCGAGATCGGCCCAGGGATATTGGAGGTTCTTTGCCTTCCTCTGGGC